AAGTGGTTGCTGTGGCCCATAGATATTCTTTTTTCATTGACATTCTCTTCGTTTGCGAATTAAAATGCTGATGCGCTGTCAGCCGTGAGGACTAAGATAGAATGCCTCTTTTCCATTAAAATAGGTCTCCGGTTCGCTACACTCACCATACAAAACACAGCAGCATTAAGCTGCTATTTTACGCTGTTATTTAGGGACCGTCGAAGAAGAAAGATATGTGTGTGTGTCAAGAAGTTGAGCATGATTTCGGCGTCACTTAAAGTGTATGAAGCCCTCCGTCTCTCTTTCTTTGTTGGTCTGAGGTTTCAAATAAGCCTTTCTAAATCAAAAGAAAAGTTTAAGAATAGTTACGATTGTTATATTATAATATTGTAACATACATTAAAAGGTCATTCGTTAATTAATAATTTAAAATTTTGTACAGCCGACTACAATATAAGTTATTAAGAATAACTAAAAAACATAAGGGACCACATGAGAAGTACCAGCTTTCAAATAAAAAAAGAATTATTGAAATCGGTCCACCCAGTAAAAAGTTATGAGGTAATACACATAAAAACATACAGTCGAATTGAGTACTGTCTCCTTTTTGGAAGTCGGCAGAAAATGAAGCCAACAAGCAACATATATACTACATTCCGCCCCCAATGATCACAAATTTCTAAATAGCAGTAAAATTCTAAAGAAAACAGAGTATTTACAAATCTCGTCAATCCTGCTACAAGAATATTACAAACATGATTAGTTGATAATTTGTTTTAATAAATAATATTTCACTTCGACTTTCGGTACGATACCATAATTTTAAAGTTATGTGTTGATGCCTTAGTAACTCCTATCACGTAGATTAGTTAAAAATCGCCGGTGCAAAAACATCAAATCAAGCTTATTTAACAACCAACGCACTAATATCTACATTAATTATTTTTTTACTTATTTAATAAATAACAACGTATTTATTTATGAATTATTATGTCATATTTATTTAATATAACACTTTGAATACGTCTCACATTTTTACTTTGTACTATTTATTATGAAATTGAGTTTTTATTAAATATGATATAGTTTTGGATGGACACATTATTTATTCCTTAATTAAGGTGTGGTAAACAAAAAAATGCCTTGTGTTTATGCTTTTATCACCTAATACTAAAATTATAATTAGTATTAAATAAAACTGGGTAATGGAGACGTATACAAAGGCATCGATTATATTAACACATTTAAGTTTTCAATATTTAAAAGAACAAATATAGATTTATATGTGTTATAACGATATTTAAATAATTTTGGAACATTTTGGAAGACATTCTAAATCAGATAAACGGAAAAAATCGTGGCAGTGTTTTTTTTTTACTTTTTATTTTTCTTAATATTCTATATGTATTGATATTAAAAACCAGCCAGATACAAACAAAGAGATTTTTCTTTAATTTTATTCAATTATATAATAAAATACGAAGAAACTTTTGCCCTGACCTATTATAAGTATATACGATACATATTATAAAGAAGTTCAGCCTATATACGTCCCACTGCTGGGCACAGGCCTCCCCTCATTTCTGAGAGAGTTTTAGGGCAAGGAAATGTCCACCGCGCTGCCCCAATGCCTGTTGGCAAACTTCACATGTCTTCGAATTTTTTTTCTTATTCTCAGACATGCAGATTTCCTCACGATGTTTTCCTTCACCGCCGAGCACGTGGTAAATCAGCACTTAAAATTGCAATTAACAATTTCATTGGTGCCGGCGGGGATCAAACCCGCGTACTAAATCGAATCGCGTACTGTGAAATTTACAGCGAGCGCTAACCATCTGAGCTACCACGGCTCTTCTCACTCACATATTATATATAAATTATAAATATCCAAATATCACACGCTCCTTGATTTTCGAAAACACAGTCGAAAATATTATTTTGTTATTGCATTCCCCGACTTTTTACGATATTAAAGTTATTGAATATCAACAATAAATTTAGCAAATAATTTTCCCGTCTTTTGTTGGTAGTTTTAAAAATGGCCGACATGCGTAATGTCATATTATGCGAAGAAGGGATCTTTTAGCCAATTTCCTGATACTTTTATATAGCGTGAAATTCTTTATAGACCTCTGACATAACGCGAAATATACAAATTCACATCGAGACTCTCAAATATTAGTATTTCATTACACTTTGATTATAAAATGGCACTTTTGGCGTAATGTTAAAATATTTTTGCAATTTCAATATTTAAAGAAATAATTATTGACGTATATTGATTAAGATAAAGTTTATCACCGTATAATCTAATAATCTACGCACTGTTTTGTTTACTTCTCAGAAACTTGGGTCGAATCTCCGAAAGTGTTTTGATTTAGAAATTTAAGTTTTATGTTGTTCTTTTTAACGTTTGAAACGATATAGGGATTATTTTTATGTCTATCTATATCTTTTAAATATTATCTACAATTTAAGAACCGTGATAGTTTAGTCATTAGGCACTTCCTATAAAGTTGATTGCACATGTTGCCTAAGACTGAATTCCGATACTGTCAACATTAAAAATGTAAACCAAGCGTAAGTAAGCAAAATGTAAGTCCAAGCGTCCATTTTTTCACAATTTTTTGCGGTCTATGTCTATATATATTATATATATTTCAAGGACCTAAACCTACTAAACCGCTCTCGGGCAGAGTTACTGTGCCTCTCCTAAAATACCTGAGATTTTATATGCTCACTTAAATGTTATTGTAAATAATTATATCTCCCCACAATTTTGACATAAAACCTTTTTAAGGTGAACGCACACTTATCCGAGCCGAACGCATCGAACGAATCGAATTCAAAGAGGGCTCGCACACATATCCGCACCGAAAGAATCGTTTCCATTTCCTTTCAATCTGTCGCACTGTAATTACATGTCAATTGTGATGGGATCTTAACTAGGTTTTTATTGTCAGTGCTTGTATTAATAGAAGATGAGGAAAGTACTAATTCAATTAAATTAGAATCACTCATTTGGAAAAAAATGAAGAATTAGTACTCGCACGTTGCTTTGTCGCACGCAACTGTCAGAATGCGAGCGCATCGGTCGATTCGATTCGACCGCATTGCCCGCGCCGAATCTGTTGACGTCATCACAATTCGTCTACCATTTCTGGTGTTCTTCCAGATTGGGACCATTCGACGTGGACAGGTGTGCGAGGTTTCACATGATTTCATATAGAGAATTCGTTTCGTTCGACGCGTCCGCCTCGTATAGTGTGCATTCGTTCACCTTTAATCGGGGGTAAAGATATAAATAAATAAACGTAGACTGTTAGTCTGCCACGCTTCTACTACAATGTAATTAGAACTTAATTACAAAATAATTAGAATACATCTAAGCTTTCGTCATTTAGCAGTAACAGCAAACAATTTGCAGGTGCAACAAATATTATACGTGAGCCTAGTCGACAAGTTTCATAAGATCAGGTTTTTAACGGTCTATTGCTGTCGCACTATGTCCGAACGACAGAGCTAAACAACCGAAATAGACAACAACAACTCGGCTTTTTTATACCTATGAAAAATTGACGAAATCGACATCCCTTATTCTCCTGTTTTCTACTCTAAAACTGGACCGATTTTTTTTTCAAGAACAATAAAAGCAGGATAGCCACACTATGTCTGTGTGTTTTTTTTTTAATTTTAAATTTGTTTAATCTGTTTGCTGGATAACTATAAAATAATAAATTAGTAAAATAATAAATTTACGTAAAAAAAAACGAAACGGGAACATGGGCGTGGCCAGAGAGAAGTCAAAGGAATATATTTGTATGGACTAAACGTACACCAGATATCCTCTCAAGTATTAATTATAGAATATAAAAACAGTTAAAATGCAGCTTTGAATAAAATTAAATATAAATATAAATAAATAAAAATCATTATGCTTTTTTAAAAAGGGTAAAATAATACTGACATACTTACGGTTATATACCATACTTTAAATAAATATTTTAATAAATAATATTACTTTATAAATTTATTCTTAGAACTAGCAGATATTGCTATGTAGGATTCTTCGTAATTATCAATAAGACAAATAACTCTTATTCCTATAACGTTATGGTTTAATATCGACAAAGGCAAAACACTAATAGCATTGCTAGCTCAGGCCTTGTGTTTTTGCTTCAATTATTTACTTAGCAAAACAGGCCACTATAGCATCGATAAATTCCGTTACGTATTACGTGAATAGCTACCTTATTATTTAGTAATTAAGACTTAATATACTACTAACTCTAATAATATCACGTGGTATTAGATTTTTTACTGTAGGACCTTTGTGTTAAATTTCAAAATGTATTATTATACCTCTGCCTAATAAATTATTACACTCAAAGATATTTAGTTGTTTAAATATTTCTATTAAAGTTACAGCCTATATACGTCCCACTGCTGAGCACAGGCCTCCTCTCATTTCTGAGAGGGTTTTAGGGCAAGGAAATGACCGCCGCGCTGCCCCAATACCTGGTGGCGAACTTCACATGTCTTTGGAATTTTTGTTCTTATTTCTCAGACATGCAGGTTTCCTCGCGATGTTGCCGAGCACGTGGTAAATAATTATTTCTATAAAAAATATTCTTATTGAACTTTTAAATTTTAAATGGTTAAAATTTGACAGAGAATCATACTTTTGAATTAAAGGGTAACAAAAATGTATGAGTAAATGATATCAACTTTTAAATTAAATATTTTAACATTTAAAAACCTAATAAATATCATGTTTAAAGAACATATTAATAATAACTTTTTAATAAATGCATAATTAGTGTATTGAATCTTATTAATAAGAACTAAGATTTCAAAGTTGCATATCTAGCATGCTCCCCGACTTGCTTCTATTCAATCTCAATTCATACTCTAACACAGTTAGAGTTCATAATCGCATTTATAGCGAATACAATTCAATCACAATCTCCATAGCTTTTGCCATATGAAATTCTACCTTAACGTCTAGAGTTTAACATTCAAAACCGCGGTACAGGAGAGTGAGGTGATCTCGGCTGTTTGACAGCGACGCCTGCGAGCCGCTCGCAAACCGCTTCAAGCTGAGCGTCCAGCATCAACGACGCTACCTGGTCATCGGTCAGCATTTCCACACTGTAGTAAGTAACATTATCAAAATTTAGCTACTAATGACTTTACTTCAAATTAGAATGAAATGCTACAGATTAACTATAATTATAAAAAAGTAAGATACTAGAAAGTAGACTGCATCACTGGCAATGGAGGTAACCACGACTTTTTTGCCACCAGGGCAGCACCACTTAGGGACGAGGTGAAATATTTTCCAAATTACATGGAGAGTTAAGTAAGTTAATTTGTAAGGACAATGTAAGGATTAATGTTTCTGTTTGTAATTTTAGCTATATTTTATATTAATTAGATTAAAAATAAATAAACCAAACAACAGCTATTCATAAAAGTAGAAAAAAAATAGGTGACTGTCGTGGAACACTCGGTTGGAACGAAGTATATTATTATTGATAAACGTAGGTATTATATTATTGATTAACAAATACAAATAAATGAATTACTAGCGTCTATTAAAATGAAGCGTCATTTGAAATAAAATAATATTTCTATCATGGCGAGATAAGAAAAAGTGCGAGGGAGATGGATATTATTCCATCTCACTTCTTTATTTCGCCGCCAAGGCCGTCTACACTATGACACAAGGGCTAGTGACGAAAAAATCTTATACTTTTTGTTGCCTAGCTCCCCATCCGCCAAACCCGTACCGTCCGATAAGGAACTTCGTTCCAATATTAAAAAAAAAAGAGTTGAAAAATGTGAAAATCATTAAGAAACAAACAACTGAGACATTGTTTTGTGTATTTATGTAATACTCTAGAAACGGATAAAATTTCATTTAAAACACAACTTTTCAATCATATGACATTGTGTAACAATTGTTCTAAGGCTACATCACCACTTACCACCAGGTGGGATTGTGGTCGAGCACTGGCTTATAATAAGTAAAAAAAATAATAATTGTGTAACAACTGTTGAATGAAATATTATTAGCCCTCATTGGCTGGCGTTCGGCTTTGCTGACGAGACGGTGGGAAAGCGGAGTTGTATCCAGGCCAGCAGTGGGATTCAACAATATAGACGTACCTAGGTATGCTGTCGGTGTCGGAGTGGCGGTCCGACGACGCGGAGGAAGCTGTGGGCGAGCGACGTCGGGGCGTTCGCGGCGCAGAACCTGAACCTCTACGATCACCAAATAGAGACAAACCTGCGAAAGTATATTAACATTTTTAATATTAATAAAAATGATTGAATGTGGAATAAACAAGTATGGAGTACTTTTACTTTTTCCACTGATTCGGAAAAAACATCTGTCCTGGCAAGAACCATCAAGAAACCCAGCGGGACCTTTTTTAAAGTAAATATATACAATAAAAAAGATTGTATAAACTACTTACAAAAATGTATTTAAGAAACAGCTTGGAAGCGACATACTCATTCCCAGGAGTTATTATCAACTCATTTACTTTATAGTAACCCTTTTTATACAGTTTTTGCTTAGTTAAATATTTAAACTTTGTAATAGAGAGATTTTGTATATTCTCTGAGACTTTATTGTAATAGCGTATACATTGCCCCATGAATTAATTAATTAGTGACTGTGGAGTCGAGAACCTGATATCACTAGCTTGTTTTTGTTCCTTGATGTTTACAGTATGTTTATCACTTTTTTTTATTATACAGTGAAACCTAGTTATCTGGGATCTCAAGGGACCTGGAATGTTTTATCACTTATAGAAGCGTTTTATTTACCCAGTTTCCCAAATAGGCAGATTAACATGACAGTTGTGTTATTTATAGAGGGTCCCACTATAACAGGCCAAAATATACCATTTATCAAAAAAAAAAAGATAGTACTGATAAACAAAGCAAGTATGGCAGAAATTAGTCAATTGTAAACAAGCGTGTCATAAATTGTATAAACCTGGGAGATTGTCTTACTTATACGAGTTATATAGAGCTGAGAAGTCCCAATTAAAAAGGTAAACATCGAAAAAATCTATGAAATCTAATCTCAGTTAACAAGGTTTGAAAATTCCCCGTAATAGAGTCATTTCAATGCAAAAGTGTCGAGACCTCATTGTAGTTATCAATTACAGAGGTTTCTCACATATCCAGGGCCCACTTAACCAGGTTTCACTGTAACTACTTTTTTGTTAACATCTCTGGGTAGTTTGTCGTCGCATCTGTCGCCTGCTACGACACCCACGGTACGATATGGGGTAATTGATATTCTTACACCGCCTCTACACAGGTTTTCTCAACTACAAACCACCAATATCAATGTAAACATTATTATATAGTATTATTTAGTTTATGCCAACCAACAAATAGCGGGTTCTATTTTGAATTACCAGTGCGAATGTATCAGATCTGTGAATATTTCATTGTAACTATCATATGTATCATATGTGTATTATAATGTTTATAAAGCCTTATCTAGCAGTGGAAACAGAAACTTTTTTATTCAATATAGATTATAAAAAATACTTATTATTGAAAGTTTTGTATAATTACCACTGGTTCGAAAAAAACCTCTGTCCTGGGAAGAACCAGCAAGAAACCCAGCGGGACCTTTTTTTTTAAATAACAGCTTACAATCATGTATGTTACACAAATTAACAACACAACAAATTAGAAATAGCTTGGTAGCGATCACCTCATTTCCAGGGGTTATTATCATCTATAAATTCCTTAATATTATAATAACCCTTTTTATACAAACTTAGTTTAATAAAGTTTTTGAACTTTGAGCAGGTCAAAGGAGACGGTCCAAAATTGTATGGAGCGTAGGCCTAGTTTATGTACTAGTATGGAAATAAATTAAAATAAAATATTAAACCACTTTTGATCATTCAAATCCACGAATTTGCCTTAATTTAAGTGGTATTAATATTTTATTCTCACCAAAAACTGCAACACTAATGGCGGTATGATGTCGTTTTGATTTGACGTTAGCTGTCATCTCTGAAATATATACTCATATCCATGGAAATATATGTACTTCGTACAAACTGGAACCCGCACTCTCGAATGACATAAAAAATACAAGAAAACGACCTTGAAATTTTTCATTACCCCTCAGTCTCTTTCTAATTAGGGTGAATACAAAATACAAGAAATTGGGATATTATATGGAAAAATCAGTTTATTATTATTATATTCACATATAAAATTTTATTTTAATTGAAAATACTAGAGTTCCATTGAAACGCATGATATTAGAAAAATTCATAAGATTGAAGCTGCGGGCGGAAGTTTATTAATTAATATTATTTATTCGTGTACTTTTTTGTCAATAAACGAATAAACGAGGGAACGGGCTAAATATAAAAAACGTTAACCATGAACTCAGACCATCATCCGGAACAAAATCTAAAATATTTTTTTCCCAAAAATGAAAAAAAAAATTCAAAATGTCACGTGACCAATTTTGTATGGGAAGACAATTTTTTTTTAATTTTCACAAAGAAATTCCTTCAGTACCTTGCTCAGGATCATGGTCATGATGAGTTCATGGTTAAAGTTTTCGGAAGGCTCTCTTAACATCCCTTATAATGTAACATTAGGAAATAATAAAACTAAAATAATAATCGTTTTTATTTACATTTATTATTACAATAGCATGTAGTGTTATGCTACTTACATATCATTTTACATTATTTTAAATTCATTTTTCCATTCTGTTTCGATTTTCTGCATTCACTTCAAAACTGGATATTTTACATCATCTTTAATTCCATAGGATGTAACGTAATGTTGTTGTATGTTTTTTTTTTATTACTTTTTTTTTAAATAGTCTGTAAATCGCATCATCCATCCTCATATTCATACTCCATTTTTGTAATATAAAATTGTAAATATTTTTGAATCTAAAATATATTATTTGTTTTTGTTGTATTTTTGTGGTTTTGTTGTTCTTAGGTTAGATTCTTTTTGTTCTTTATTGTCGCTTCACGACAAGCAATAGTGTCTACAAATTTAAAATATACAACAATAATAATTAGAGGTGAAGGATTTTACAACAACACAATTTTTATACATGATTGAATAGTTTTGTGAAGTTTTAATCGCTTGGTACGAACAGCACTCAACTTTTGGTCCATAAAATCTTTTAGATGCGTTCTGAGACGCATGGTCAAAAAAGAATTTGAAATTCACAGCAACCACTTACCATCAGGTGGACTGTGTGCTCGTTTGCCACCCTATCCTATAAAAAATAAAAAATAGTTTTAAATTCTGGATTAATGAAATTCAGAGCCTCGGCCGCTCCGGCTCGTCCGATGCCTGCGATTTGTTACGCTAAGGCGTAGAGGCTGCTCTTCCCGCAGCGCCGGAGACGTAGCAGGCTCAAAATAGATACAGAAATCCTTCTGAATCAATCCCCTTATTTTTTTATGACGAAGGGAATTTTTTTCTCATAAAATGGATTTATATTTACATTATAAATGCAAACATGAAAAAAATATAGATATTTTAGAAATCGATTTTTTGGGAATCGATACATCAGCTTAAAATTCGAATCTATTTAAAAACTCGATCTTTTTCGGAAAGAATCGACATCCCTACTGACAATAATAATAAAAATGGCGTCAGTTTCACGGTAGGAATTGACTAAATATTGCAAAATTATTTGATTTACAATGTTTTTTCTCAATAAGTACGTGTTTCCGCATATTGAAACTTTTAAAAATAAAAATGTAATCTTTCAGTAAAAATACGTATCAACACCAAACTCGACGGACGTCAATGGAAAGTCGTACCTTTAACCATTTATTACGTTCTATTAGATTGGAAGGAAACCTGAAAAAAATTAAGTAATAAAAGATATAAATTTATTTTAATTTTGATGTTTCAGTGTATCGTCATTTGTGTAAACATCGTTTCGAAACTTCACGCAAATCGAGCAGAGATTCCGTTCGAGAAAACCTTTTCCGTTTGTAATTAAAATGAAAATACATTCCAATGTATGGTCACAGTAGTCGAAATTATAATACAAACATGAAACATTAATTATTAAGCAAATAGCGAAGTAAAATTGGAAATAACGAACCAAAATTAACATCTAAACCAAAATAACTATATTTCTATATAGGAATAATAGCAATTAAAGTCAAAATATCACTAAAAATCAGTTTGACATGACGCGCAGTATTTGCATGGTATTTTGTACTTAAGAAAGAAATATAATATTACATTCTGGATGCCACTCACTTTTGCAACCGCGCACATTAAATTTAATGACCATTTTAATAATTTTGCCTTTGCATTAATCCAAAATTCAAACTTGCGAAATGAACGTAAACATCCGCCATGTACAGTAAAAATTATTTGACAAATAGATTTTGGGTTGTCATATAACGGCTTTTAAGAATAAATCTAAAATAGGGAAAATATGTAGGAAGCTAGGCAAATAGTTCATCGTAAATCTTTATTAAGTGTTTAAAAGAAAAAGCAAACACTTAAGTGAAAATCGTTTTGTCAAGTTTTGTTATCATTTTTTACTTAAAATTCTTGCTATACTGAGAATTAAACTTATACTGAAATTCATGATGGCTGTCAATGGGGTAATATCAGTCGTCACGTTGGCTATCCTGTAGGGAAAACAGGGGTTACTCAAGGTCATTTGATTATTCCTAATGTTGATATTAGGAGTGTGGGTTCCAGTTTGTCTATACTTCCGTGCTCATATCACCTATAGCCATCAGGTAGATATATTATGTAAAATAGCTAAAATGTCTCGAAACTAGTAGGAAAGTAAGGCAAAAAAGTTGTATTTTTTTTAAATCAAAACACGAATAAAGTGTAATAAAGATTGTGTATGTGCTTTTTTGATCTTAAAACAACTAACGTTCTTGTTGATATTTGTAAAACAAATATAAAAAGTACTATACTACCTAATTCCAGACAAGAAGATTGTTGAGATAAATCAAAGGATCTACACACAAAATTATTTCATTGCATTCGTTAGTGTGTACTAATGCACACTTCAGTGCCAGGGGCATCCTGGACTTTTTTTGTTTTACATGGGGAAATGACATTTGACATTTGACAAATAACCGTATCTTTTTTATTTTTTTATGAATGGAAGGGCACCATCTTGTAAAATCATCAAAAACTTGGGATTGTATTTTTATTTTCTTACAAGTTATTTAGTTTGATTTAATTTCTGATTTTATTTTTAACAAAATCCCAGAATTTTTCTCTTTTTTACGATATATTGTACATAGACTGGGCCAGAAATGGACCGTCTCCTTTTGTATATTTTCTGGAATTTTGTTGTAAAAGCGTATACATCGCCCCAAGAATGAATTACTGACTCCATGGAGTCGAGTAACTGGTACTACTAGCTTGTGTCTGTTCCTAGTATTTACAGAATGAATATCACTTATTTTTGTAAAACTACTTTTATTTTTGTGTACGTACATTACATTTTCATAAATGTATTGAGAGGCCAAAGTTAATATATTAGTTTCCTTAAATTTTTGTCGCAGCGACTCTTTAGACTTTAAATCATAAATTGCTCTTATGGCCCTCTTCTGTAAAACAAATATAATTTCAGTGTCAGCTGCGTGTCCCCATAGCAAAATACCATACGACATTATGCTATGGAAATAGCTAAAGTAAACTAGTCTAGCTGTTTCAACACTAGTTAAGACTTCTAATCTTTTTACGGCATATGCTGCAGAACTAAGTCTCCTTGCTAGTTTTGATATATGGGGGCTCCAATGAAGCTTCGCGTCTAGTGTGATTCCAAGAAAAGTGATCTACAACACTTAGTTTCTCTCCATTTAAAATTACATTAGTATTTAATTGTTTGACATTTGGAGTCATTAAGTTCATACATTTCGTTTTAGTGCCATTTAAATGCAAATTATTAACATTGAACCAGTTTACTAATTTAGATATAGCATTATTTACTTCGTCATATTTTAGCAATTGTCGACTTAATTTGAAAATTAAAGAAGTGTCATCTGCATATAATATTATATCATGGTTGTCTCCTACTATGTAAGGTAAGTCATTAGTGTATACAAGAAACAGAAAGGGGCCGAGAATTGAGCCTTGAAGCACGCCCATTTGTACCATCGACCCGGAGAACTCATACTGTTAATGACAACTTTTTGCATTCTCTTACTTAAATATGAAATAATTAATTTAAGAGCATCACTTCTTACACCGTAGTGTTGAAGTTTCCTGAATAATGTTTCATAGTGAACACAATCGAAGGCTTTGGATAGGTCACAAAATATACCCAAACCATCCTGTGAATTCTCCCATGCATTAAAGATATATTTAATCAGCTCAACACCGGCATCAGTTGTCGAGCGACCCCTTGTGAAACCAAATTGATTTTTATGAAGTAAATTATTTATATTAAAGAAATTTAACATTTGATCAAGAATAATTTTTTCAAAAATATTACTAAGTGTTGGTAGTACAGAAATAGGTCTAATGGCGGGGTCTAATGTACTACCAGATTTAAATAAAGGTATTACTTTACTATACTTCATTAAATCGGGAAACACACCAGATTCGATACTAGTATTAAAAATAATAGCTAAATGAGGCACGATTGTATCTATAGATGCAATAACTTTAACGGAAATCCCCCACAGATCCGCAGTTTTTTTAACATCAATAGTTTTAAAATATTTTACAATATCTTTTGATGATACTTTATGAAATGTAAAATTCTTTCTACACGCATTTACATTTTGTGTAAGTAATGATTCGGCGACGGCATGCGAAGAATTCAGTGACTTAGTGGTTAATATCGGAATATCAGTAAAATATTTCTCAAAAACCATTGCAACGTCCTGATCAGATTCAGTTAATTTGTTATTAACACTTAACTGGTAGTTTGAATTGCGAGAGTTGATCTTACCAGTTTCGCTATTAATTATACTCCAGGTCATTTTAATTTTATTAGAAATTAATTTTGTTGCTCAAATGCAATGACTTGGCTGTGGAGCACACTCTTTTAAATATTTTTGAATATTTTTTTACATATTCCGTGGAATAAAAAAGGCTCATCTATACAAATTAATAAAAGTGAAATGTCTGTATGTAATGTCAAAATAACAGTTTTTTACTTTTACTTACTAAATCCATGTAAAAGCATATACGGTACTTATAACAACCAAAACATTTTTTTCAATCAAACATGATTGTTCCGGCTAATCTCCGAAATGGCTGGACTCATTTTGACGGGAATTTTACTGGCGATAGCTGATATTATACGGAGTAACTCAGGATACTTTTATTTAAAAAAAAAGAAAAAGGGTTCCGTGCAAAAATATTAAAACCCATAAAATTTTATCGTAATATATTCCACGCGGACGAAGTCGCGGGGAACAGCTAGTAAACAATAAAAAGAAAGAAAATGATTTTCTAGGTTGCTTATTATCGTTGTAAACTATATTTTAGACAGCGCACTTATCACGCTCGTTATAAGTTCACTCTATGCATTCGTGCATCAATTTGGTCCTTCGAGACGGATAAAAAATAATCGAAGTAAGATAGCATTTTAATAAGAAATAGCCACGTTGCAATAAATATTAGCTGTAGCACTTAAAAACTTCCACGCAATTTGGTAAAATACACGTTCTTGAAAAAATCGACAACAGATAAATAGAATGAATAGATTCAGGCAGTTATTTTCTTTAGAATATCTACTATTTTTTTTTAATAAATTACCTATATAACAATGTCCAGTACTTACCTTGGAACATCTCCTTAACCCGTTCCCCGGTGTCATGCAGCAGAACATCGAGACTTTGTCGCCTAGCATTTTGAAATTCCGCGCGCAGTTCGTTCCTCAGTTTCTCTTCGTTCCGAAGTGAGTTGCGCTCCGCAACTCGGATGATACGGCGCGGTGAAGCCGCCGACACCTTGGACTCCATCGGGCTTGGCGGCGATGGCGTTTTGTCAGGAGTCGAGCGAGGTCGCAATGAACACTTTTCGAAGCTAATCTACAAATAATTTGAAACACAACGTTTAAAATCCAGCTTCTAGATTTAAAGTAACCAGCAGGGTTAGTCAACATGACTTTCTATGGTCGTTAACGCTATAGGAAACTATAATAAATATAAATAAATAAAAATAAAAATGATTTATTTTTCAGGCATCGTAGGCCCATAGCGTGTTAGTAATATAAATAAAACTCAAGAACTAATGTTAGTAAATAAAACATATAAATAAAACAAGACAGAAATATACGAAAAAATTGGGGGTTTTATCAAGCTCCATTTAGTAAATGTAGCATGACAAACCTACCCAGTGTAGGGGCATCTAGCTCCGCAAAGAACCTCAAGACACTATTCGAGCTTTTCCTCCCACTTTTTTACGCATGATCGCAAAGTAATCGTCAGTATGCTCATCGGCGAACATGCCTGATGCACTACAATAAGGTGGAAGCCCCAATAGCAACCTGAAGGCATTGTTATATTGGATACGCAGGGTATTTCCAGCCCTTTGGGTATGATTGGCCCAAAGGTTGCTGGTGTAAAATGATTGGCAGAAGGACTCGAACAGTGTAATTTTAACCGGTACAGAGCAAGCAGCAAACCTTCGAGCCACCATATTACCTCTCACAGCTAGCGCCCTGCGCTCCCTTTCGATATCTAGGTCATCCTTTAATTACTTAAATTAAAAATTAAAGAAAAACCCTCCGAAACAAAAAGAGCTGATGATCTTCAAGCGGCTGAACAGATTTTATTGAATCGTAGCTGAGAACACTCTTGATCAAGTCACCTTCTAACCAAAAACACTAAATCAAAATAAGTTCGTTTGGGCGCCACACAGATACACACAGATCAACACGTTAAACTTATAACACCCCTCTGTTTTCGTCGGTGGTTAAAAATTAATGATAATTACTTATCAGAATGTATGACATGGCGTTGATTTCATTCATATTTGTAGTTTCCCATTGCGCTAACGATTATATAATGTCAACTTGACCAATCCCTGTATTTCGATCTTTCATATATCCGCCAATAGTATCGATTAGAATAAATCTTTTAATATTTAGAAATAGTCAACTCAGTAGTGATGAATGTGTAATGGCGATGATGATATTTTACTTAAACAAATATAAATATTTGAAATGTGTCGTAGTTTTTGAGTGGAAAAATAAGAAATTTTCTCCAAATTTCTACCAAACCTGCACGCGGTGCACTTTACTAGGTAATCTTTCATCTTTCATTAGAGCCCTTCACAAGTCCACTGCTGAACATAGGTCTCCCCCAAGGAATACCACAACGCACGTTCCTGAGCCAGCACAACAATCCGTAGACTTCCTGCATGTTTTACCAGGTCTTTACTACATCTAGTGGAGGGCCACCCCACACTTCGCCACTCGAAAACCTTTCTACCCCATTTGTTGTCGCTTCATCGAGCTATATGGCCGGCGCACAGCATTCGTTCATAAGTATTGGCGCTCCTCGATCATTTCAATAAGCAAATCAATTTAAGGGAGCATGATATGCTCAAGTAAGTGAAATATCGAGCATACCTCCTCAGGACTGGAGTAGTCGAGATCGATCTCAGTCCAGGTGTCTCCATCGGGAAGACAGCGTGGTCTCTGGGCGTCTGCGGCTCGACGCAACCATTCCCGAACACTCGCGTCCGCGCTGTGATCGCATAACTCCTCCAGATTCTCACTAATATTTGATTCACTGGCTGTGTCCGTTATTGTAGAACGGTCTATATCTGTGAAAAGTATAATTTCAAAGTGATAAAAAATTAAATTTATTTATTTATTTATTTTTTTATTTAATAACAACCTTTTTTACATATATTCATTGATTCCCTGGTCCCTGAGCTAGTATAACTGTGTTTCAGGAACCAGTTATAATGAAATAAATTAGATATTTTTTTTTTATTTTAACGGCATTGACGTCAATTCCTTTAACTTAACCGTGTAGTGTTTGTGTAAGAATATCCACTACTCCATATCGTCCCGTGGGTATCGTAAGAGACGACATAGGTAAACTAAAACAGAGCATGAGCAGCATCTTTCTTATAACAACTTAAAATAATAAAAACTGCGGTTGCCAACCCGCCTGTCTAGCGTGGCAACTATGGTAAACTATAAGGTAATTTATAGTAAAGACCTATGTTCAGCAGTGAGTGGACTTCTATAGGTTGTTGTAATGGATAATGGACGCCAAGGCCTTCAGTCACAGAGAAGACTTTATTATCCATTGTAAAGATATATACACAAATTTTTTCACGATATGTTTCACGTCATATTACGAAGGTTCTCCGAGATTTTGAAGACAGTTCTACGGAAAACCCAAGCGAGTGAGTCAATGGCCTAAATATCCCATGGTGCCAAAAACGGTAAAATGTCTATGTCCATCGGAACACTTGTTGGCGTTTTCATTACTTGTTCACATGCGTGATTATTTATTACACACAATCATGTTTGCGTATCAAAATTAACTGTAAAATTTATGTAAGCGATAATTTTTTTATAGGATAAGTGTGACAAACGAGCACACAGTCCAGCTGATGGTAAGTGGTTGCTGTGGTCCATAGACATCTACATTTATCTTCGATTACGAATTAAAATGCAGATGCGTTGTCACCCGTGAGGACTAAGATGGGATGTCTAGTTTCCAGTAAAAAGGATCTCCGGTTCTCTACACTCACCATTCGAAACACAGCAGCGTTAAGCTGCTATTTTACGCTGGAGTAAATACCTGGAGTTTTATATCACCATCAGAGCGATTGTTTTACCTCTTTATTAAAAGTTTAAATGCGAGGACATTTAATACACAAAATGGTACACTTTTACCTACTAAATCTTCATACCATTATCTAAACAATAATACAAGAGCAATCCAGTAACGCCGCCAGCAAATTATTCAATAAAAAAGAATATTCATTCATTCAACACAAATTTTAATGTCTTTGGGCCATTCATTAATTACGTAAAGGATCGCGAGGGGCGGGGGTTAGGGGGGGGGGGGGGGGGGAGAGGTGCTAAAAATCTCTACCCTATCTGGTGGGAGAGGAAATCTTATGTACCCTTACATGGGGGTCAAAAATCGCCAAAATCATCGTTACGTAATTAACGAATGGCCCCTTTTTACATCGACATCTCTAGACAACCAGAAAATCAGTCGAAATGGAGATAGCGATGTAATTTACGAATCAACGGTCAAAAACCAAATTTAATAATAAACGACTGTGACAGCTAATGTAGTGGAAAATAAATATAGTATAGCTTTGGAAAAAAAACCTAGTATACCGTTTCTAGTGGACTGTCGTCTGGATCGGTGTCGGTGAATTTCATCTGATATTCTTTCGAGGTTCCTCAACGCCGAAGAGTATTGTTGTTTTGCTTCCGCAACCTGTTCCTCTAAGGTTTGTATCCGCGCCTTTTGAGCTTCCAATGCTGCATTTATGCGAGCTTTTTCTTCAAAATATGGCCTAAAATTAAAAAGAAATGCACAATCCGACCCGAAGGACCAACGCAACAAAACAAAAAGTTTCCCACACTGTAAAATGTATAAGTGCATTATGGTGTATGAAATTACACAGAAATATTAAATTCATTCACATTCAGTAAGACATAAGCTCTGTCACAAATCTAATTAACAAATTATATATACATTTTAAAGCATTCCTTTAATTTATTTACGTTAATTAGAAGTACGTATGTTTTAATTTCATTTGTGTATAAGTTGTATGTTATTTATGTTCATAGATGTATATCTAAATTATTAAACTACTATTAATTAATTATTTATCAAACTTGAGATTACATTTTTTGGTTGATTGTTTCAATATTTTGGTACGATTCTTAACACCTTCTAGAAGTAAAAAAATAATAAACATTACTTGTGCCTTGTTGGGAATTTCTATTGTGAAAAGTCAAATCTTTTTTGAATACCAAGCATCATATCTATGTGTGACAGAAGTTATGAGCAAACAAAATAGAAAAACATAATAAGCATATTAGACACAAGTAACATCCTGGTAACACAAAAGGTAAATAAATCATGCGAAATTTATCTACATACATGCATTAAATATGGAGGGTACAGGTAAGGAGGACTATCTCATATGGGGGAAAAGATAGAAAAGTATCCAGATGTAAGCTGTAAATAACAGTTCAAAAACCTTCCAGAATGGCGATAGCGTAAATACAGGGTATGGTATGAATGAAGCAGTTGTAGATAAATTGAAGTGTGCCGAGTTAAACAATTACTATCTTAAATATAAGACGTGATTTTAATTTTTTTTTGTTTATTACGAAAATGCTTATGTTAATTCAGATATTTTATTGTTATAAATTAATGAATATACGTTTATTGTCAATTTTAAAAGACTATTGTTTTCTATACCAATAAAATATTTTCAAACGTTTTTAAGATTTATTCTAATATTTTTTTCATCCAAAAATTGACACCTTTTTTGACTATGAGGGCTGTTTTTAAAATTTACCATTTCTACGTCCACTTTTTCATACACAGAGTAGTCCTCCTTACCTCTTCCCTCAATAGCATTAAAGTGATAATTATAGTGACAGACAAACAAATTGTGAAACATGCACAGATAAAAGAAAAATGTACCAAACGTGATTATGGCATCGCGGGCGACGTCGTGCGGCCTGTGGAAGAGAAATTGTTTTGTGCAAACTAAACTAAACAAGCTTAGAAATTACATGTGTGCAATAAGCTAGTACAAAATAAATTGTGTTAGTTCGTAAAAAGCCTTACTAATATATCTACAATACTTTGTTTTAAGAGAATTTAGCAGAAAAGTTGCCATTCTATCGCAAATTCTACTTTAACATTGGGAACTATTAACAATATGCGAGGTGTATTTTAAACAACAATTCAATTATTTTTAAATTAAAATATTACAAACTATAATAATAAAAAAAAACTAAAACTAGAAACTTAATTATCATATAGTCCTACTCCCCGCGGTATCGTGCCAAGAACGCTGGCTGCGTTTTCCCGCTGAATTGCTATAATTAGCCTTTGAGCTAGAAAAGAACCAGCCCTCATATCACCAGCAGCAACGACCAGCCGCGGATGGAGTTCCTTTAGGAACTTCACCGCACGTGGACCCCACGGACAGATAGTCTCTACAGCAAATGGCACAAATATGTAGTCATCTCTCAGAGACTCATATTTGCGCCATTTACTCAGTTCAGCTTTAAACTATTTAAAATTTGATATATATTTTCATTTTAAAAGCACACGATTGATACAATTGAGAGTAGTAGCCCAACGTATATAACATGTGAACATTCAATTAGCTTTGCTCTGCTTGAAAAACAGTGTGTCTTACCTAGTTTCAAGAGCATCTCCCTTAATCCTACAATACGTACTAACACTAGCCACACTTAGCCCACAATAAACCCCCTCAACACCATCTCTAAACGTGGCACGGATGAAGAGCAAGTTGTAAAATTAAAAACATTATACAACCGACTTCAATATAAATTATTAAGGACTAGCTGTGCCCCGCGGTTTCACCCGCGTCATCACGTGTCCGAGGTGCGCGACATGACCTATTTCAAGCATTTTATAACGCCTAGGGTTTAAGCGTCGTTCGCGCGCCCAGCCAAGTATTGAATTATTTTTATTTTACATTTTCTCTTAAACTATGCGTCCAAATAACATGGTATAAAGAACAAAGTTTATCTTCATAAAATTGTCTTGATGATGAAGTAACTTTCGTTCGTAAGGATAAACAGGCCATGCCTAATAATAATAAATCACTTTTAAATTTTCAATATTTTTTTGTTACGAAATACCAAATTATGGCTTATGTATAAGAAATAGACATATGGTATCGCGGACTTTTTTTTAGAGGGAGTAAAGGTCTATATTTTTCTAGAACATTGTATTTACGTATCCCTAACGATAACACCAGCGTACGCGGATAAATCATTTCGGGAGTGCTTTTTCTTCTGACTTGCTTAACAAATATCCCAATTTAAGGCTAGCTGAGTAATATAGCTTAATGCTAGATAGCCTATACTATTCCGCATGAATCTGGCTATAATATACAAAAAGAATTTTTCAAATCGGACTGGTAGTTCAAGAGATTAACGCGTTTAAACAAACAAAAAAACAAAAAACTCTTCCGCTTTATTATATTAGTATAGATAACTCAAAAACTATTGGTCAGACCGTGATCAAATTTATATGGGACCGACATGAGAAGCACTAGCATTCAAATAAAAAAGTCATTCATTAAAATCGGTTCAACTAAGAAAAAGTTATGAGGTAACACATAAAAAAATACAGTCGAATTGAGTACCTCCTCCTTTCTGAAGTCGGTTAAAATAGATCGCGATGGCTAAACGCTAAAAGCGATCAAAAGGAGATAAAAAACCCTGCAGTATTATCGACGGTTGTGTGTCTTTCCTAGTGTAGTGAGAGTTGGGAGTTATGTTGAGTTTAGTGGTGGCAATGATTGTAGGTGTAAGGGAGATAGATGCTCTTCAAACGATGTAAAACCTCCATTTTATGTTTTACGTGTATCTTAGCTAAGTAAATATTGATTGTTATAGGCCTCAGGCTGGCTTTTCACTATGGGATATATTTTATTTTTTATTTTATCCCGAAATATAAATTATATCCCGCGCTTGGCTTTCACACTGTGAGATATATCTTTTAACCAGTGTGCGTTCGTCATTGGTCATTAGATTACCTCCCTTTACCCCGTAGACCGTTCTGCGGGAGCGCGGAACAGGGGGCGAAATATAATATGAAAATATCGCTCGGTCGATCGAAATAATATTTATAGCTTGAAATTTAATATATATTATAGCTCAGTGTAAACGGTTCCATAAGAAATGTATGGTGAGCGATATTAATTTATATCTCGAGATGTAATATATAATTATATTATATCCCATAGTGAAAAGCGGGCTTTATTCTAACTGGTTTATTTTTGCAATAATATTATATAACTTTTAAATGATTAGATTGGCACGTTGGCCTTTTTGGGTAAGCTTCCAGGGTATGGCTTATGGCTCTGGTCGGATTGACTGGGTAAAGGACTTTCTGAGTGAACTGCCTCTCCGGGTCGTCGTCGTTGGCTGCTCATCCGATTCCGTGGCAACTAAAGTCGGTGTTCCTCAGGGGTCCCTTCTCTCCACAACTTTCTTCCTGCTACATATTAATTATCTGCTTTTGCCTGGTATCTAAAAGTATGCAGACGACAACACAGTCGTGGAGAGATACCAACCAAGTTCTCGGACCAGTCAGGGTCAAATCCAGTACGAAAGAGAAGCTATGGTAGAGCGTGTGAATCTCATTCTACAGGCAGTCTCCGATGCCCATCTTGTGAAATTCAACGCCTCCAAAACGCAAGCGTGTCTCTTCACTGCAAAAACTGACCGCCTTCAGTTGTCGGAGGTTGAGATATCCTCAAACCTGAATTTCGGGCGGTTCATTGAGTCTAAAACCAAAGCAAGGAAGCTAAGAGTCTTTACAATTGTGCGGCATTACTTCACGCCAAGACACCTGATTACTTTATATAAAGCGCTTATTATTATATTGCTGCCATATATATGGGCTGGTGCTGCAAAATGACATCTAGCAGCTTTGGACTCAATGGAAAGGCGTGCGAAGAGGTTTATTGGTGACCCTAATCTGGTTAAAACCAATCTTACCAACCTCGAACACAGAAGCAAAGTAGACAACCTTTCGGTTTTCTACAGGCTGCATTTCGGAGAGTATGCACAGGAATTGCGTAATTTAATTCCTTCCTCTCCCTTCCACCATCGGGACAACCAGACGTTTTGGTCAGTCTCCAAGCTTTCGTTGTGGACTGAACACGCATTCGAATCAAACGGTTTGCTAGATCGTTCGTCATGCGTCCATCAAAGGAGTGGAATAAGTTTCCAGTATCCGTCTTTTCATCCGATTACAGTGTTGATGTCTTCAAGGCAAGAGTGAATAGGCTTTTGTTAAGTCAGTGCGCTTCACCATCTTAGGCTTACATCACCGCTGACTATCAGGTGGGATTGTAGTTAAGCGCTGATTTAGAATAGTAAAAAAAAAAATATTAGAACTTTGCGGAAATATGTGCGACAGTAGTGTAACATAATCGATCACTCCATATCATCTCGTGGACATCGTTAGACGCGACTATTGGATGCCATACACGATCCAGTTTACCGTTAAGTTTGCAGCGAGCTTGAAGCGGCGTCAAGTTTACAGTGCATCCAAATAGACCACTCATGTTCAAGTTCGCCGTCAAACTTGCATGATGCCGCATCAGATGAAACCATGGCGTCATGCATACTTGACCGCTCATACACACGTTCAAGTTTTCATGACGCTGCAAGCTTGGTCAAGTCGGCAGAATCGAAATTAAATGTTTGCTTCAAGTAGATTTGTCATGCACACTGATAGCCGTACACTGTCAAGTTTACCGGACGCCGCTTCAAGCGCGCTACAAACTTGACGGTAAACTGGATCGTGTATGGCATCCATATGGAAAATTCTAGAAAGAACTCATAGCCTCCGGTAGATGGCGTTGTTTTCATCTGGTATTTATATCAGTTTTAAAATACCCTTAACAGCGACAGAAAGCAGCGTCAATGTTGCGAAACGTCTGATTTATTTTATAGAATAAGTGTGACACAACACCACACAGTCTATATGGTAGACAAACACAGCAGCATTAAGCTGCTTTATTACGCCGGTATTGTGTGCGAAAGTGGTCATTCCCTGGTCGAGTCAACCCATTCGAGCTGCAATCATAATATGGCAAACCTCTTTACTATAAGAAAGATTCACAAGTGGACTGTACAGACTGTTACAGCTTGATGAAAAGGAGGTTAAAGATTAGTAATAAGAGATAGTTTAAGAAAGTTAAAGAAATACTGAATGGTAAATTTAAACTTACATAATGTATATTTTGACTAAAATTATTGGCAAAGATAGATTTATTGCTAAATAACATGCACTTAATTCTTTAATTAATCTATTTCAGGCATAAGTAAAAAGTGATAGTAAAAATATTTACATATAGTGTCAAAATAAGTTTTTTTTTTTTAAATAAATGAGTAAAGAAAATTCAAAAGGGAATTTAAAAACATGTTTATATCTCTGGTAGATATTATGTATATTTACTTTGTATTTTATGTACGGTACAGGTTAAGCGAGCAACCAGGTTCGTTAAAGAAAACCAACTAATTTTAGAAAAATTGATTATTGAAATTTTTGTTTAAAAATTTATGACAATTTTAAGTACTGATTCTACCACGGTAAAGATAAAGAAAGATGTGAAACCCGGCAATTTGTTAATATAGTATTGGCTATTGGTCAGACCTTGATCAAATTTATATGGGATCACATGTGAAGCACCAGCTTTCAAATAAAAAAATAATCATCGAAATCGGTTCACCCAGTAAAAAGTTATGAGGTAACACACATAGAAAACATACAGTCGAATTGACTACCGGCTCCTTTTTGAAATCGGTAGAATAAAAAAGATACCAATTTATTATAGACAACGGCCTAAAAATCTTATGAAAATCTAACTGGAATCATTTTTTTTATAGGAGTGGGGGCAAACGAGCATGCGGCTTACCTGATGGTAAGTGACTACCGCCGCCCATGAACAACCGCAACACCAGGGGAACCAGGGGAATTGCAGATGCGTTGCCGGCCTTTTAAAAAGGAATAGGCTCTTTTCTTGAAGGTCCCTAAGTCGTATCGGTCCGGAAAAATCGCTGGTAGTAAACTATTCCACAAGGAAGTTGTGCGAGGAAGAAAACATGTTCTAAATCGCACAGTGGTAGACCGCCAATCATCCAGATGGTGTGGATGGTATCGGGAGTTCTGCCGCGATGTGCGTTCATGAAATTTGGCGGCTGGGATTAATCCGAACAATTCCTCAGAGCACTCCCCGTGGTAAATGCGAAAGAAAATGCAAAGGGATGCAACATCTCTTCGCAGTGCCAATGAATCGAGCCGATCGAAAAGGACTCGGTCGTCGACGATTCGAGCCGCTCTGCAGTGGATGCGGTCAAGTAGAAGGAGCTGGTACTGGGGAGCCCCTGCCCAGAGATGGGAACAGTATTCCATATGAGGCCGAACCTGCGCCTTGTAAAGTTGCAGGCGGTGTGCCGGCATGAAATACTGTCCCGCTCTGCTGAGCACGCCAGGCTTTTTAGAGGGCAATTTGGCCTTCTCTTCCAAGTGACCACGAAACTGCACGTCGCTCGATATGTCGACTCCGAGGACTCCGATACTGGCTGAGGCAAGAAGGGGAGTGCCTAGAAACTGAGGATATACGACAAAGGGGTTCTTTTTAGCGGTAAACGCGCAAACTTGTGTCTTCTGAGGATTAAACTGAACTAGATTTAGTCGCCCCCAATCCGAGACTTTGTTCAGCAAAGACTCGACTTCAGACACAAGTTTGTTCCGGTACTCGGCAACGTTTTCCCGAGAAATATTGGTACGGCCGGTGTATAGAGCGTCACCAGTGCTGTATCCGCATAGCAATGAATGCTTCCGGTTTGCGACATATCATTGATATGCAGAAGAAACAGCGTTGGTGATAGCACGCAGCCTTGTAGAACACCAGCGTTAATAGGCTTGTAGTCGGAGCATGAACCGTCTACAACGACCTTAATGCTCCGATCTGCAAGAAAGCTGGTGATCCGATTGCACAATTTTTCGGGAAGCCCATAGGAAGGGAGTTTCGAAAGAAGCGCTTTGTGCCAGACCTGATCGAAGGCCTTCGCTATGTCCAAACTAACGGCCAATGCCTCCCCTTGGACTCGATCGCCTGCGCCCATCTATGTGTTAGGTAACCAAGAAGATCACCAGCTGAGCGACCCCGACGGAAACCGTACTGGCAGTCACTAATCAGCTGGTGCTCCTCAAGGTACCGCATGAGCTGGAAGTTAATAATGGACTCCATTATTTTCGAGAACAAGGAAGTGATGGTGATAGGCCTGTAGTTGGACGGGTCTGAGCGGTCGCCTTTTTTAGGGATCGGGTGGACAAAAGCTATCTTCCATGATTTCGGGACTACGCCTAGGGAGTAGGAGTACCGGAAAAGACGCGTTACAACCGGTGCCAAATCCGGAGCACACGTCCTCACCACAGTTGGGGGGATTCCGTCAGGCCCACTCGACTTGTGGATGTCCAGGGAGAGGAGTGCTATACGGACCGATCGCTGTGAGAACAGCACATCAAGCATGGAGCACTCACGGGATGGTCGGAGGTGTGTTCTCCCCGTCATCAAGAGTCGAGTTGGACGCAAGAAGGGAGCCTAAAAGGTCGGCTTTGTCTTTTGCGGCGTGGGCCAATGAGTCGTCCTCCCTGTGCAGAGATGGTAGTGATGGCTTACATAAATTACCAAATTACCTTGGACAGCCTTGGCGAGAGACCAGAATGCACGGGTTCCCGAAGGAAGGCGAACTAGTTTTTCGCCAATTCTGCCTATGTGCTCTGACTTTGCCTTGGAAATAACTCTTTTGAAGGACCTGGAGGCGAAGTTATAATTCTTTTTAAGCATGCTGGGGTTTACATCTCGAGCCGGCAAAGCCTCAGCCCAGGCCTGATAGCACTCCTGCTTACTGCGTAATGCATTCTTACAGGAGCGACCAAACCAAGGCTGAGATCTGTCTCCCATGGGTACCACAGATGATGGAATAAATAGTTCCATTCCCTGTAGCATCACAGAGTCAGCAACAGCGATGGGATCATCCGGCGAGAAGCAAACCCGCCCCCATGGGTAGGATGCAAAGAGAGACCGCATTCCGTCCTAATCCGCCAGCCTGTAATGCCAAACACGGCGGCATCGTGCAGAACGCAACCGCGTGGGAAGCGTGAGTGGCACCACACTCCGGATCAGACAATGGTCTGAAGTGCCCGAGGGGCATCGACGGAAATCTGATATCTGTCCGGATGAGAGGTCAGCAGAAGGTCCAACAGGGAAGGTGTATGATCCTACACATCTGGAATCCGCGTAGGCGAAGTAACCAGTTGTGTCAGACCATATGCCAAGCCAAAGTCATAAACAGATCTCCCCGCATGATCGGTTAAACGTGAACCGAGCCATTCGGCATGGTGGGCGTTAAAATCGCCAAGGATCACGATCTCTGCGGATGGGACCTGTTGTAGCAAGGAATCTGTAGCCATTTGGACGTGGTCGATGAGTCGGTCGGTTTCGGCATTACCGCTATGGGGTATATAGAGGCACCCGTAGACGCGCGGATGGTCGTCGCTATCTACGCGTAGCCAAAGGATGGACAGGTCCGAACCTTCAACTCTGCCGAGGCTGAGGCTCTGACGTATACACAAACTCCAGCCCGGGGTACAAATTGAAACACAAAGGAGTGTTTCAATTTGTACCCCGGGTAGGAGAGATACGAAGTATCAGCCGGAGAGGACATCTGAGTCTCGGTCAGAAAGAGTAAGGCCGGCTTCGCCGTCTCGAGATGGTAGTGGATGGCGTTTAGGTTCGAGGGAAGTCCCCTGATGTTGTAGAAATTCACGGATAGAGTGGCAGAGCAGTTATTGTGTTGAGCGGAATTTTGAACCCCCCCCCCCCCCCCAGAATACGCGGGGCAGCCTGAGCACCCACGCTCAGGAGTGGAGTGGCATGGTCGTGGATGCTCAGCGAGGGATTCTCCAGGGGTGCTGGTACCCTCCTGGGGTACTCTATGATTTAAATCCGCTACCATGTTGATAGGGGGGGGGGGGGGGGGGGGAATTGGGCCTCCGGTCACGGTCCGGTTTGATATTCGTGTACTGGCTACTTTGCTTTATACTCGTACTTTTATTATATAATCTATAGATTATAAGGAATAAATCGTCATGTATCTCATTAAGTTACGCCACAATTTGTGGTGGGCCCATTCTCCATACAAAAATAAATTGTCTCCTTTTCGGCATTAATTTGTTCATTTTTATTGAACTGTCACAATGATTCCAAGCGATTGTCAAGTGTTTTGATTTCAGTAAATATTTCATAATTGACTACACTTGTTGAACTGACTACATTTACTCATTTATTTTCAAATATACCTGGACTTTGCTATATGCCTCTTCAAACCGTTCTGCAACTGTTGTACTAAAGCAGCGGCCGCTCGGTGTGCCGCGGCTTTAGTTCTCTGCGTTACCGTGGCAGATGCACGATCGGCTTCGGCCTTAAAATTAAAAATAAAATTTGATATTAATAAAAAAGGTAGAGGTGGACTTTGCAGTTTATCTCTATTAGATTTCCTTGATTTAAATGCATCGTTTAATAATTTAATAAGGTGCGGGGGGAGGGGGGGGGGGGGCACACATTAAATTTTAAATATAAAAGCGTGGAAATAGCAACATACCGTCGCTGTGTTTCTTAAGTGCAGTGATGCGAACCGGAAACACGGACGTATCTGAATTTTTTTCTGATGTTGGTGTCTTTGAATACCTGATTGACTCTATGTGTCGCATGGTTGAGCATTTCCTGCCAGGCTGGGTCGAGTGTGAGACCGCCCTCTGAACTCTCTGCCAGCCTAGCGAGTCCTTGTTCCGCGAGGTAGACCATTTCTCTGGCGGCCGCGTGCGCGCTGTTGGCTTTATCGTAAGCAAGTGTCGCGGCTTGAAGCTCTTGAGAAGTCTATGAAAATAAATACATAGACGTTAAATAATGCGGACGTAATGTTACATTGAAGGTCCTACACTTTTGTTCGTCGTTGTACTATTATATACTCTGTGGTCATACGCGAGATACACGCACACAGGTGACAATCGCCGGCAGTATAATATACAGCGCGTGTCAGTGTTATAAGTGACGCGACCTGCATACTGGCGCAGATTGTCCTACCGTGATGTATTTGTGTGATTTTGTAGGACCTAGAGCACAGTTTAACTACTATTAAAATTCGGTCATCGAGGGCGTTTAGACGGGGCAACCGTGCGGTACGGTGCGGGGCGAGAAGCGGGCCGAGTAGTTCCCTGTTCGTTGGGGTCGTCCTGTCATGCAAATAAATTAAAATGGTTCACACTACATGTGCAGTGAAAAACTGTAGGTCGTCCTCGTTTAAAGATAAAGAATTAGTTTCATCAGTTTCCACATAACACATCAATTTGTTTGGACGTGAAATAAAATAAAATCAGTTTTTTTTACTTCCCGTTCTGGCAACCCTAGCAATTTATTGTTTATGTCGGCTTTTCTGACAACATCAAACGCGATGACTGTGCCTAGAGTGCACACACATCTTTAGTGTAGCATTACGTATTTTTTTTACGTACGAGAATAAAAATATTAAACATACTGAACATATCACAAAAAGATATGACAGTAAAATGTTTTGGGTATAGAAACAAAAAATTGACGAGAATGTTTTGCAAATCAACAATTTTTGTAATGATTTTTATATTTTGCAAATCATTATCATCAAAAAATCATCAATATAGACCTCACCCAAGGAATGCCACGGTACTTAGCCACTCTGCATCCATCAACTTCCAGTATTAAGTTGTTAAAAATTAATTTGCTTATATCCGCGTAATGAAATAAAATCATTTCTTACCTAGTTTGAAGAGCACTCAATCGCGCGCACTAATCCCAACACCACTACACTAGGAAAGATACATCACTGTCATTACCTCAGGTATACTGCATGCCACTGCTGACTATAGGCTTCTCGATATATAGTCTCATGGGGGGATGTTTGCCATAGTTGCTACGATTGGTAAGTGGGATAGCAACCGCTGTTTGTTATTTTTTTATTGAATTGTTATCAGGAAGATGCTGCTGACCACATCCTGGTTTAATTTTCCTCTGTCTCTTGTTACGACACCCACGGGATGATAAAGAGTAATGGATAGTCATCTATTTTGTAATTTAAAATAGATATAATACATAAGTGTAATTTGTTAAACTGAGAGTCTAATAAATTATTATTATGTGGGATATTTAAATAGTTTTCTCATCTGGTTGGGCTGTATAAATATATAATTGTTATTGTAGTTAGTAAATATATAGTTGTTATTATTATTATGTGGGGTATCTATATAGTTTTCTCATCTGTTTCATATTATTCATGGTGTTCTACAATCTATTTTTGTCATCTTCGCAATTTCATTGAAGGATTAGATCTCTCTACGAAGTGCAGACAGGCAATGAGAACAAAAGGTGGTTTATTATCTTCGACTTCATCATTTCAGGCATTTTTATATACAAAAAGTGTCCAATGACATGTATTGATAAAAAAATACACTAACAATATTAGCTCTAAATCTAGCTTCATAATAAGGCCTCGCTTTGTGAACACTAGTGCCGAGTTTCTTGGTCAGCTGCTGGATACGGAGATGCCCTTCGGCGAGAAGACGACGGAATGCCAGTCGAGCCTCGTCCAACTCTACCTCGAGGCGATTTATCTCATCTGTTGCTGTATTCAAGCGCTCCAGTTCAATCTGAAAATAAAGTAAAGTATAATTGGTAGATATATTTTTAGGTGTAGCGCGAATGGGTCGGCTCGACCGGGGTAGGACCGCGCTCTCACAGAATACCAGCGTAAAAACATGAATAATTTTTTCTTGTTTTTTGATAAACTTTACCTCCACACTACGATTTTCTCCTGTATAGTGGAGGCAGTTTACAAACACAAATTGCACAAGGACAAACATTTATTTGTAAGCCATACAAATACTTGTTCCGTGCGGGATTCGAACCCGCGCCCCCCAGCGCAGCAACTCATTGCTAAGCCACTGCGCCACGAAGCCGTATAATGGGAGCCCCAATGTTGCAAATGGATTGAAAATGGACTCCACGGTCTTTGCTTACCCCTATCTTGCACAAATGTTTAGGTTTCGTTTTTCAACTATTATAGTCATCTGATGGGTATCTACCCGAGCCCAGAAAAGCGCTTGTTGGGATAGTTGTTTTAAAATCATGGGCGTCTTTATTTGACGCGGACTGCAGGCACACGCAACACACGTCGTTTCTTTCATTGATCACCATCGTTTGCAAAAACCGTCAAAAGGATAATGAATATTGAAGCGAAATGAGATATCATTGAAGTTCTGCGAAACTGAACAATCAAGGGCTTAGCTCAGCACTGGTTGCAGGCGAAGCCAACGCTGGTATCCAGTCTATATACAACGTATATCAGATGTCAATGAGGGGGTTATTACATCTCTGATCAGAATTTGGCGTACTATAGTTCCTATCGTAATTTGCCCGTAAAGACAAACACACGATTGGCGGGATCCTTAATAACTAACTCTCCACGTTTCACTTCACCATATTATGTGGTTTTTTTCTACCGACTTCAAAAGAGACGGTACTCAATTCGACTATATGTTCTTACCTCATAACATTTTTCTGGGTGAACCGATTTCGATGATTCTTTTTTATTTGAAAGCTGGCGTTTTTCATGTGGTCCCATATAAACTATTATAAAGGTCTCACCAGTAGTTTTGAGTTATCCTTAATAATTTATATTGAAGTCGGTTGTACAAAATTTTTAATTTTATTTGTACTCAATGAATAGAATTTTTACTTGTACTCAATGAACAGTTCTATTAACGAAAAGATGGAACCACCGAGCTGAGACATAAGACTTATTCTGCACTGAACATTCTCAGCTGTTTTATTTATGTTGGTCAAAAATACTAAAACCTTATATACAGGTACAACGTTCACAATATCGATAAGACCGGGGTAGGTTTCGAATGATATCTACGAGTACCATGTCAGACTAGCTGTGCCCGCCGTGCGTTGCAAAGCCTTTTTTGTCACAAACATTTGCGAGCACTCACACAAGAATTTACCAACGAAATGAATAGTATAGCAACGCATACAGAACATTTATTTTTATATAGGTATAAAGAAAGAAGATCAATCCATAATACGAGGGGCGTATAAATAAAGCAAGAACGCGTAATGCTAGGGTAGGTAGGTAGGTAGGTAGGTAAGGCTGTAATATCTATAACATATCTAAAAATATTGATTATCGTTTGTTTTAAAAAATTGTAGTCATTTGTTTGCAGTTTGTTGTAGCGGATTGGCGAATAGTAAAAAGTGAACTACGCGTTGTTATTAACAATCTGTGCTTGAAAACTTTCACTACCGAACAAATCAATCGAGATGTAAATATTACAGAGGGACCGGGATACAATAGGGATAAATGCGCCGCCTCACTCTACAGTTACACGCACCTAGGGTTACCAGATGAAAAAATTAAAAGTTCGGAGAAGAGACCTGATTTCCATTTAAAAATTCTGAGATTTTTTTAGTTTGAGAAGAAAACCTTACTTAAAAAGGTATCTTCACATATTAAGTATGATAAAACTGTTTAAGTACCTACTTGGATAAATAAGTTTTGATTTTAATTGTGGAATTATTACCAAAGGAAAATTATTTTTAGTTTGTTTAACTTTTTATTAAAGAGATCTTTAAAATGTAAGCTGTAATATATTGAAAGTTCTAAAGATCCTGAGATTTCATGAGATTTGCAAAATCCAGCCGTAATCCTGAGAAGAGTCTAAAAATCCTGAAATCTCAGGACAAATCCTGAGATTTGGTAACCCTACACGCACCGCCTTTAAAAATGGAAAAATATCCATCAACGATGACTGTCGCTCGGAATACCCTACGACAGCAGTGACCGAAGAAAATGGTAAAGAAATTCGAAAACATATTTTAGTAAATGGTTGTCGTGTCACGGTACGCTTTATTTCTGATTGTTGCGATGTCTGTAATTTGAGATACTAGCTTTGAAATACTTCAGCATCCGTCATATTTACCAGAACTTGCATCTTATTAAAGAAGTGTCTTAGAGTTAAATGAAACTAATTTTACAAGTTTTAGCGCGTTTAATCTTAACTTTTTAAATCCCGACGTTTCGCGTGTTTTGCAGCACCCATGGTCACGTCAAACACCTCAGTCCGCCCTGTGACCTTGGGTTCTGTAAAGCACCCGAAACGTCGGGATTTAAAAAGTTAATATTAAACGCGATAAAATCCGTAAAATTAGTTTCATTTAATGTATATTGCTCGCGTAAATATAAGAAATCATTAATTATCTGAGAGGACAGAGATTTAAAGGTTATGAAGCAGTAAATGTTGCTGTACAGAAATTTTCAGGGGCTTAGGATGAAGATTTCTTTATGAAAAGTTCTTTCTTAAAATTAAGCTTATAAAAATACATATTCCAAAACTATACTTAAAGGAAATATGTATACTCACTTATTACTAAAGAACGTAAGGATATTGTGAGCCTCTCTGTTGAACGAACTGTAGAAATGGCTTGTGTCGAGCTCGAGCACCTCATTGTTGTAAGTGTTTACAGACCCCCATGTGCTACTTATGACCATTTTGAAAGGATTGTGGAAGAAGTTTTACTCAAACTTAGTAAACAGAACAAGTCTGTTGTAATGTGTGGAGACTTTAATATCAATCTCCTTGAAACTTCTTCCATTAGTATTAAGTTTCGCTCATTGTTTAAATCGTATAATCTTGTAAATTTATTCTTAGAACCAACACGTATTGCTGGGCCTAGTGCGACCTGTATAGATAACATTTTTACAGATGTTAAGCCCTTGCATAAATCAATTATTCAAAATTTAAGTTCAGATCACTGTGGACAGTTAGTATCACTACCTTACATACACAAAAAACAGAAAAATAAGAAAGTTGTGTTTGTTCCAATAAATGAACATCGCTTGGAGAGGTTTAGAAGTAATATAATAAAAAGACTTCCATCACTTTCGTTTAAAAATAGTGCTAATTATTTGTATGCTACATTATTTGAAATCATATGTTGTGAATTTAGTAGAATATTTACTTCTAAAACTTTCTCTCTTAACAGTCGCAAATCATTTAATGAATGGGCGACAGTAGGAATTTATAAAAGTAGGCGAAGGTTATACGAGCTTTATGATGAAAGATCATATAATAGTAGTGTTATATTTAGAGATTATGTAAAAACATATTCTAAAATATTTAAAAAAGTGTGTTCCACTGCTAAGGCTTTACATTTAAGCAACAAAATTAAAACTGCATCCGACAAAATTAAAATGACCTGGAGAATAATAAATAGTGAAACGGGCAAGGTCAAACCGCGCAACTCGGATTTTCAATTAAATATTAACAATAATTTAACGCGATCTGATCAAGAAGTTGCTATGGCTTTTGAGAAACATTTTACTGATGTTCCTTTTTTGACAACAAAATCATTAAATTCTTCTCCTACTGTCGCCGAATCATTGCTCAAACAAAATGTAAAGGCTTGTTCAAATACTTTTAAATTCCATAGGGTACTGCCAAAAGATATCGTTAAATATTTTAAAGCTATTGATGTTAAGAAAACGGCAGACTTATGGGGGATTTCCGTTAAAGTTATTTTATCTATAATAGATACATTAGCACCTTATCTAGCCACTATATTTAATATAAGCGTCGAATCTGGTGTGTTTCCTGATTTAATGAAACATAGTAAAGTCATACCTATATTTAAATCTGGTAGTACATTAGACCCCGCCAATTTTAGACCAATTTCTGTACTACCAACATTAAGTAAAATTTTTGAAAAAATTATTTTAGATCAGATGTTAAGTTTCTTCAATATTAATAAATTGCTACATAAAAATCAATTCGGTTTTACAAGGGGTCGCTCGACAACTGACGCTGGAGTTGAGCTTATTAAACATATTTTTTGTGCATGGGAGAATTCAGAGGATGCTTTGGGTATATTTTGTGACCTTTCCAAGGCCTTCGACTGTGTTCACCATGATATATTAATCAGGAAGCTACAGTACTATGGTGTCAAGAACACAGCGCTTAAACTTATTATTTCATATTTAAGTAATAGAAAACAGAAGGTTATTATCAATGGTAAAAGTTCTTCCGGGTCACCTGTACTAATGGGTGTTCCTCAGGGCTCGATTCTCGGCCCATTCCTGTTTCTGGTATATATTAATGACTTACCTCACCTTGTAGGGGATAGTCATGATATAGTATTATTTGCTGATGATACTTCCTTGATTTTTAAACTTAAACGTCAATCATTTAAATGTGACGAAGTGAATAATGCTATATCAAAATTAGTGCATTGGTTTAACGTTAATAATCTGCATTTGAACGGAAATAAAACTAATTGTGTTAAATTTACAACAACGAATGTTAAAAATCTTAATACCAATGTGTTTTTAAATGGGGAGGAATTGAGCCCTGTTGTATCCACTGTTTTTCTTGGCATCACTCTTGACGCAAAGCTACAGTGGGGCCCCCATATATCCAAATTAGCAAGCAGACTAAGTTCTGCAGCCTATGCTGTAAAAAAGATTAGAGGTCTCACTAGTGTCGAGACAGCTAGATTAGTTTATTTTAGTTATTTTCATAGCATAATGTCTTATGGGATTTTGCTATGGGGAAATGCGGCTGATTCAGAAACTATTTTTGTTTTACAGAAG